ATGTACAGACTCAATCAAACCGAGTCTGCAATTCTTATGTAATTTTGTAGTGATCACTTTGTTTCCAGATTTTTATACTTCACAGCAGCAGGTTTCAAGTGCCGTGAGGCAGCTGTAAAACGTTGCCCCGTATTTCACTTCAGTGTTGTTATATTTTTCTGGTCTTTCGGGATCATTGATGCCACCGCTATTAAATGTTGAGAATTGAGTACCGTTCAAGCCGGTGCTAGGGGGCGTGAGGCATGTTGCACTTGTTCATTATCCCTCATGTGCAGACTCAATCAAACCGAATCTGCAATTCTTATGTAATTTTGTTGTGATTAATGCTTCCGAGGGATCACCTTGTTTCCAGATTTTTAATATACTTGTTCAAAACTTATGGTCTTAACTTCATTCAATATTTATTTTCCTTTTTGAATAAAGTATCTAAAGGAAGCGACGTTATTTTTTCCCGAATATATGAGTGTGGATTTAAGAGAGAAAAAAACAACGATAAGTTAGAATCAAAATTTTTAATACTTCTACGTAATTAATTTTCATTTTTAAGGCATCACTAGAAAGTTCATTAAGGATTCTTAAGCACTATTAAGTGTTGAGAATTGAGTACCGCTCAATCCGGTGCTAGGGGGCGTGAGGGATGTTGCACTTAGTCATGTACAGACTCAATCAAACCGAGTCTGCAATTCTTGTGTAATTTTGTTGTGATAAATGCTTCCGATGGATCACTTTGTTTCCAGAATTTTTTACTTGAGTCTAAAATTATCAACGCCGCCTTTCCTTGATGATCTTGTTTATCATATTCTAAAATTATCAAAATTGACCAAGAAATAAAAAAAAAGTAAGTAGGGGGCGCCATGTTTCTCTTACTGAATTTCAGAGTGTGTTTTGTTTTTTTTTTTACTTGGGGATCATATGCCGTTTTTCATGGTATGGCACTTACCTGTCACATTGAAGGTTCCATGATAATCACCATATTAACACATCTGCGGATGTTTAAAAATTCAAAATTGTACCAGTTCATGTTGAATTTTGCTCAAGCCGGTACTAGGGGGCGTGGACGATAACTTGCTGTTTCCATTACCGTCCATGAGCAGGCTCAATCAAACCGGCCTGCAACATTCTCAATTTTGTCGTTTTGAGCGTTCTTTAGGGATTCTTATTTTCTCTATTTTACAGAAAATAACATGATAAATTTAACGAAAAGTTAATTCATTTTGATTTAATTCCTTTTTATTTTGAGGCATTATATAATTATATACCATAATTGTATTAATCACACTTTTATTTCAATCCAAAATTATCAAAATATATTACGAAATAAAAAAAAAGTTTGGAGGGAACGCCGTGTTTTTCTTACCAATTCGAGAGTGTATTTCAGACTAAAAAAAACAACAAAAAAATCAATACATCTATTTAATACATTTTTATTTCCAAGGCACTCATAGAAAGCTTATGGAGTAATCTTTCATTTGATACAAATTATATTGGACTTTTTATAGAAATAAAAAAAGTTAGAATGGACGCCGTGTTTTCCTTCACTTTATTGAGAAATAGGAGAGAGGCGACGGGTATTATACCTGTCCGTACATTTCCGTGATAGAAGATCGTAAGTACTCAGAGAGGGGCGGGGCGTCATGCATGACTTAAAATCGTTTAACTTTGTGAATCTACTTTTGTCATTTTAAACATGTAACTGTGTAAATGTACTGTTGTAGTTCTAAGACTGGAAACACGTTTTATTAAATTATATTTTCTGCATTCGAGTTTTACATTTCATTTGTGTTTTTCAGGTACATATATATATATCTACAAGTGTGTAAACATGCTTATGTATTATATGCAATGGTAGATACGAACTTGTAAATGTGTGTTAGGTCAGTTGTTAAGATTTACATGTAAACTTGTTATTTAAAAGCGGGTGCCTTCAATTAAAAGATTGGATTAAGAGGCATATCATTTGCTGTGCACGAATGCAATCAAAAATGCTAGACATACATGTTCGCATTTTCAAAAGTAGTTTTCAAAAGGAACACATACATGTCTGGAATTTTGGCAACGATCGCCCTCCATATGTTTGCACTAGGACCATGCACCAGTACAATGTCATGAATTGGTTCAACGTCACAATACCATTCAAAACATTACATTTTGTTTCTATGAACAGTCTTGCATATTAATATGGTCTTACTCATACATCAATCTGAAAATGCCAACGATTAAATCTAAATACTTTAAAATGCACGCTTATCTCTCGGATACCAATAACCTTCATGTCTATGTATATAAAACTTGCCAATCCTCATTTCTGACCGAATTTATGTAAAAAAGAAACAAAAAACTTTTGAACAGTAAAATTAAACAAAAATACAGTAAGTTTCTGTTCTTAAAAACTGCGAATTTCGGTTAAACGTGCAAAAATTTATGTATGGGTAAGAGTTCGTATTAAGACGACCGTAGGGAGTCTTATCGAACTCTTACCCATATAACTGCAAATCGGCTCTTACAACTGGATATCAGATAAAAATATAGAAAGTGTCACCTCTTTAATTAAGCATAACATTGTTTTTCCCCAGCAGTCACGTACAAACATGTTTCCTTAAGTCTACAGGTGGATCGGGTCAAATTACCTAACTGTAGCAATGTAATCAATGTAATTATTTTATTCACATCTTCATTGGCGACGCCGGTGAGCGGCGTCGTCTTTTATGGAACGCTTTTTATTTTTGCCTATGGAAGGAGCTGTTATTATTAGCAGTTAATTTCATGTTGTGTTAATTATATTTTAATATCTTGGATTATTAATGCAGTTCATTCCTATTATATGAAACTTACTTTTTCAAGAAGAAAAAAAACAGTCATAAACATTTTTATGTTACTATGTAATCATTTGTCTCTACCAAATCCACGTGTATTATCTATGTAATAAATTTGAATATATACTCAAATTGCATCAGTGTTATCAGCCTTTTTAGAAACTCCTGACCTGGCTAATTAAAATATGCCAATCACAATTATCACTATCAGCACTGGTCTCTTCATGAAAAAGTGGCTACACTAATTACTGTCGAGTAAGAGCCTATTTGCAGTTATAATGACATATGAAGAACAAATCCCTTTGGGTTTAAGACTACTATCAGATCTGAGGTTAAACTACTATCAGATCTGAGGTAAATACAATGTAATTTGAGGCGCTCCATGACAAAACCAAACATAGTGCGTTGCAAAACCGCAGGGTCCAGACCACCCTGGACCGCGCAGCTGATCAGGACCCATAATTTCGCTATCTGTTTCTCTATTTAATAGGGTTTTGAAAGGGAAAAACCCATGGATCCTATAGATTTGGGGTTTGGAAGGGCTGGTCGGGATCCAGCTGGTGGCAAATGCACTATGTTGGTTTTGTAATGGAGCGGCTCATTTTTTTCCATTGCAACATATAATTTTATAAACTTGTGGCATTGTTTTCGAAATTATGAGTGTGTGCAGGGTCTTTGAAAGATTTGAAAGACCCTGGTGTGTGCATGTGTGTGCATGTTTGTGTGTTTTCTTGTATGAATTTTACGGCGGAGATGTCAGATCATAGATTGAGTACCCTATTTCATTCGAAGTGAATAATTTTGCTAATACTTTTTTCAGTAACGAATTTCAAAAAGTAATTAGGCTAATAAGTTGGACCAATGGATAATTTAATGGTTAAAAATGGACATAGCTACAGTTATTGTGAAGTTTCTACTCTTTCAACTAAGACAGTCCGTGACATTGTTTTTTCCCTAATTTTACACATGATATGTTGTGATTCCCAGAATAAAGGAAAATTAATTGATTGCTGTAAGTTCTTATAACCCCAAATGTTTACATGTAGTAGCGTTTGAACCAAATGAATTATCAACATTTCAGTTTGTACTATATCTATAGTACAAATGCTTTGGTATTCCATCGCATTTTGAATAAGCATGTACATACAAATGTATAAACAAATCTGGCATGCAACGTTATGAAAAGGGAAAGCTGTTCAAAGCGTTACAAACGATTTATTTCATTCCTATTCAAAAGAACTTGCACGTATTTTATTATATAACAAAATAGATTAACTGACATAATCAAGTTTGCGGCTGGTACAACGGCAACCTACATTGACCCCTAATACTATCATTAAAATCAACGAAAAGGTTTTTAATTCACCATGAAGAAACTTATAATATTCTTGTGAGTAAATAATTATAAAAAAACAGAACAGGGGATACATGTACCATAAAGTAAACATGTCGCGGATAAGAAGGTCTTAAACATACACAGGTGGAATGCTACTGTTTTATGCAAAATAACATTAATTTAACTCTCTTTTAACGTGACTGTATTTTTACGAAAAAGATTAAAGAACGAACGATGAATTTTCACACTGAAATTCTTATTTATAAAGCTTGTTATAACCTATCTGAAATTCACAATTTTTAAGATCATCATCACATAGTTATACCTAAACACCGCACAAACTATAGTAAAAAGACTTTTTGTTGCGATGTTGCAAAGCTTTGGAATAGAATAAAATCGAATATGAGTTCTTCTAATGCTCATACATCTTTTAATAATAAGTGTAAAAATCTTATCTTGCAGATTAAATAAATATCTTCATAACTCTGTCATATCTTTCAGATTAAATAAATATCTTCATAACTCTTTCAGATTAAATAAATATCTTCATAACTCTGTCATTAGTCATTATGTTATAATAATTATAATGCATGTATTTAAAATTAAGATCTGTTATTTGTTTTCTGTTTTCAGACAGACAGACAGACAGACAGACAGACAGACAGACATATATCTTTATTCACTCAAGCACATTTGTTTCTAAGATGGTATAACTTCATGTGTTATCTTCTATAAATAAAGATATTATCATCATCATCATCATCATCATCATTATTATTATTATTATTATTATTATTATTATTAATATAAAAAATAAGAAAAAAAAGACGAAAATTCAACATTTTATTCACCTGTCTCTGTCATAACCAGGGTTATTTTCAGAAGGTGTGGCCGTGTCGTCACGATTAATGCTGATAATGGAACCAGTTCGAGTCTCGCGCGGAAACCTTGCCAATGTGATCGAGATGTCTTCCGGATGGTCCGGAATTGACGGATATATCTTCTCAGTCCTATAGTAAATATCACCCTCTTTTAGTTCTGACAGCGCCGCCAGACGGCTGGTTAAAACGTTCCCTAACGTGCCGTCTTTAAGTGATACACGTTTCACTTTATTCTGGTCTGCAAGCGACCCACGTCTTATTCCAGAAATACTAGCGTGGGAAGATCTTCGATTCATTGTTCGGATTACTAATGTAACACAATGTAAATTTCCACTTTATTAACAAACCCCACTTGTTTTTTTTTACCGACGCATTATTACAATATTAAACATAATATGCTTATAATATATTAATCAAAGATTTCACAGCCAATTAAAACGTCAATATATGTTTAATAATGACCTTTTAATAGACTCCTCACTTTTTTAAGTAGAACTTTCGACAAGGCTTTCATCTAAATGCTAATTTCACGTTGATAAAATTCTCAACAGCGCGTTCTCATGACTGATACATTAAACGCTAAACACCGGGTTATATTTCAACTTTTGATACGGAAATTGACTATGTAAATATTAAACAATGTAAATAATTTTTTGCAAATACAGTGAACAATCACGGATATAAATGAATCGATGCGCTCGCATTATAAATTCTAATTTCTTTTACAAATGTCATATATAATGCAGAAGTCAGTCAATAAGAGCTGTTATTGTCATTTTAAGCACGGTGCGTTCTGAAAACATTCGATTCTTGAAACATTTAACGACGACTGGACACAAATAATACATTGTTTAATTAGCGTAATGATTAGTTCCAGATGAATACGATAAGCTCTTGGAAAACGTTTTTAAAATTGCCTGATTTTTTATAAGTTCTATCTTATAATGTGAATACTACTTAAAAGACATTTTTTGTATATTCAAATAAATGTTCTGAATCAATTCTTAATTGTCAAATCAAACCACAAATAAAATCCATTGTTTAAACTTTAAACAAATATGTACACACTAAACTCATGCTTTCATGTTTCATTAGCATTATAAAATGCGTTAATATCCAATTACTGCGACACTATAAACGTTATTTTAATCAAGCGAATATTTTAAAAAGTAATAGTGAAGAAGGTAATATTAAAGAATGACCAAAGATAACATTTATGCCCTAGAAAAGTCGTGAAACGCGATCCTTTGACTTATCGCTATTGGTGTCCATAGTTCACAAGTTTTATCTTCGTTAATCCCAAATTTTCATAATTTTTTCAATAAATCCATATATCAATAGGTAAATCCAGAAATTCTGGCATGTCCGAAATCGCAAGTAGTTTACACTGATATACAAACATTTACCCTTAGAAGAGCTTATTAAACAAAACACCGTATTCAAATAGGAACCACACGAACATCTTAGCTTAATTTAATCATTTTAATCAACGCTGGATAATAACAGCAAAATCGGATGTCCAAAACGCCCATCTTACATTGTCGTAGCTGTAGAAATAAGCACCCGGATTTAGGAAAGTTGTTGAACAAATAAGCTTGCAAGCTCTATCATCTACAAGTATAGTGATGTACTGTAAATGTTGCTCATAAAGATTAATATCATGATTTAAATGGGGGGGGTCAGTAAGTAAATAATATACACAAATAAGTAGTCCGTCAATCTTTGCCTTCTTAAGTTAAATCCAGACCTGCCAAATGCAAGTGGGTCGGTCTTAAGTGTCAGATAAGTTATTTCAGTAGACACACAAATATATTAAAGAGGTACAAAAAAAACAAGCTGACTCGAAATCCACAATATGTACAGTTTATTCGGATAAAGGCTCGGTCATTTGATTAGACCAGCGATGTCTAGTGGGGCGTGCTCACAAAAGTAAGTACGGTAAAAGCTTAAATCAGTATAACAAGTATCAATACCCCTTTGTATATGAAATAAAATTAAAGAAAATATATTAAGACTTTCAGTTTTCTATATTTATAACAAGAGACAAACTTGATATTAAAACTTTCACATAATTGTACTTTGTATATAATAGAGATAGATTAACCGCCAGAACAAACGCTGTAGTGTATTCTATAAATTGATTTTATTGAATTTAAATCGATAGCAACTGTCAAAGAAACCGAGAGAATATATGAGCCGCGTCATGACAAAACCAACATAATGGGTTTGCGACCAGCATGGATCCAAAACAGCCTGCGCATCCGCGCAGTCTGATCAGGATCCATGCTGTTCGCTTACAAACTCTATAACAAGTAGAGAAACTGATAGCAAACAACATGGATCCTGATCAGACTGCGCGGATGCGCAGGCTGGTCTGGATCCATGCAGGTCGCAAACGCACTATGTTGGTTTTTAACCAAACAAACTTTTTTTAACCAAACAAACGGACCCCCCCTTTAAAATATTTGGAAAGCCAAATGTATTTTTAAATGTTGATACATTTAACTTTTAATACGATTTTTAAATCTAATGAAATTTTAATACGGCGCTTTTATGTGAAATCTTCAAAGGACCGCTTCGTGTTTTATTATATTTAGAAAGTACATAAACAGCATTTTTTCAAAACATCTCAGGTGTATCTAAACAGTTAAAGGCAAACTAAATATACATATTTTTTCTATTGCGTGTTTAACGGCACCGGTGTCACATTTTCTAATGTTGCGGATTTCTTTTACTTTTGTTCCTAGCGTTTACATTGAATTTAAGCTTTTTTATACGAAAGTCTAAAAATACGTACTCAAGCGTAAGTATGTGGGTTAAGATCATACATTAGCTTACAATGAAACGATGGGTGGTACGAATTAATAAAAAAATAGAAATGTGTCCACAGGGCACTATTGGGACAGTATTGTCCCGCTCTATTGCTGTCACGGTGGCATATGTACTTACATGTATCTTATAAGAGACAAGTTTTATATTTATACAAATATTATTAAGTATAACTAATAAGTTTCACAAACCTATGACTGATGAAACTTATATTCTTGATTAGACTGGAACTAGTATTTCACGAGTCACTGTGACCTTACCCCCAGTATCATTTTCTAGTCTCTAAACCAACCTTAGAACTATAGGCGAAGAAGCTTTAAGTGGACAAGGCTACGTTGACCTTGGCCTAATGACCTAATATCAAGAGGAATCTTCTACTAGTCATGGCAGACCTTAACACTAAATCTTAGGCTCAAGCATTCCCTAGTTACTGATTGGGCTCGTCTTTAGAGGTCAACGCCACGGTGGCCTTGACCTACTACACTTAAAATCAATATAATAGGAGTCATCCACTATTCTTTAGCAACCTCTAAACTGAATTGGTCATCTACTAGTCATGTGTATTCTTCACATCAAATCTCAGGTCAAATCAAAGCGTTCCCTAGTAATTTAATTTAGTGGGACAAACTTTAAGTGGTAATGGCTACAGGAACCTTGACACTTCAAAATCAAAAGGGATCAGTATTGTCCCTACCAAATTGCACAAACCATAGCCCAATATAAAGAAATTCATCAACTTTCTTTGATTTAAAAACAAAGAGATAAAAGTTGAATTGTGTAAGTTAGGATTACAAGATACATTGATGGGAAGTAAAAGATGCTTGTATAATCACAATAACAACCCATACATATAAAATTGTATATGATTTCCGTAAATGATGAGGTGATTCCGTTTGAACACAGTGTAGCTTATTCCTTCTCAAGTTATTGGTTATAGATACGGATAAGGAAAATGTGACTTTCGGACGGACGGACGGACGGACGGACAGATGTATGGCTCGGCCCTATGCTCCCATTTTTTAAGTGGGTGTGGAAATCTAAGGGAAAGGCACAAGTTTGTTCAAATCCTAGATACAGTTATTAGTATGCCATTTGTCATGACATCCTGAGTTTCAACGCAAAACCTTTCGGAAGACCTCGTCGATTATACTCCTTATCCGAAGTTTGACTTAATTGCTTAGTAGTTGCAGTTGGTACAGTAAAATTCACGAAAATCTGACAAAAAAGTGTATGGTAGATCCTTATATTATACAAATATTAAAAGTCGAAATTTGAATGGAAATTAAACATACGCGGACTATTTACAGACGTATTAAAAAGTCAAGAACCAATGAATCCCATGAAACTATCATTTACAAAACCAATATAATAAGTTAATCGTATGCCATTTTATAAAAAGAGCACTTGACTACGACCACTCTTAAACAAACATGATTATACAATGTATAATATACGAAAGGTCAAGGTCAAAAGTGATCATGGTAATTCGAAGAGACATCACCTTGGCATCTTCTTTAAACAAAGGTATCACGTTACGTTTGAATTAATATTGAAATAAGACCAAAGTGAAATTAATGCTAAATTTCCTCAGAAATATGATTTCCTCTCATCAAACTAAATACAAATGTATTAAAACATACTTTTATTATTGTATTTGCAGGTTAAGATGCGTATTGTTTGGTCATACAAAATTACTAAAATAGACCATGGTCATAAAGTATGTAAGCAATGATAAGAATATTCACAATTAAGACCTTCCCGCAAATACAAATGTAAGACCACTTTGTTCCAGTCCCGATGGTGGTCTTAACTGAGGGTTTTTATTGTACATGAACTTCGAAACTTTACTGAAATTTGTATAAAATTAAAATGTAAAAATAATGTTTTGGATATGCCGAAACTTTTCACTTCATTTTTTTAAGAATCATGTTCATCATTATGTACAATTTTAAGTATCGCAGTGTCAGCCATTAAACATGTAACGATAACACAGCATAGCTTCATCAGGGGAAGTAACCACGTAGAATATGTATCCGTCTTTGTCCGAAATAAGACGAAGAATGTTAATAACGACTGAATGTTAATACTGCTTTCAAGAAAGATTACAGATATAGCACAATGAACTCTTGAAAAATTTGTACAAATTCAATTCGGACATTGATCATTATCTTGATCGAGACCAGTCATGTTTCCCTCTAACCCAAGGGAGAAAACCGATACATTTCTAATCATGTTATTACCATTACTTCCCTCCCTTTGTTCAATCTATACACATGTGTTACCTTGATTGTGATCTAAACATCCCGGATGCCGGTCGCGAGCCCGATCTCTCCGAACCTCCACTTCCTATACGAGGCTTTGTACTACTTCTGCTTAGGGGTCGCTTAGACCCTGCCGGTGATGAAGTTGAGTTTAACATAATCAAATATTTTGTCAGTAAGACGCACTATATAGATCCTAACAACTTATACTTCTTATAACAGTTTTACCTTCATTCAATGCACTTTTTCATCAAAAATATCCATCACTCAATTCATTCAGAGAATTGTAGATCTATATTCTATAACACAATTTCCCTTGCGACTCATTCTCGAAAACACATTTGTCTAATACTGGATCAAAACTATTCTTGCTTTTTTTATTCTTTCTGGGTTAAAATCAATTTTCCCACCCAGCAGAACGCCGTAAACTCT